AACAAAAGCATCCCTTATGCTGTGATTGCGGTCCGATACAGGATGCCACAGTACTTGTCTGGACCAGAAAGAAGCGAGGCAGTTAGCTGCCTCGCGTGAAATCCGCCCTGCCTGGCTGGCAGGGTGCTACAAGGACCTCACAACGAGAGACAAAAAATGAAAACGACCCGTTTCATCTTCCTCACGTCCTGGCCAGATACATTCCTCAAAGCACTGGTGATGTGAGGCCTTCCCCACGTAGCTGGATTCAAAGTTCCTCGTTTGTTTACTTTTTTTTTTCTCTTTTTTTTGGCCTCCTTCCCTGCCCCGGCCCCCCCGCTTCTTCGGAGTAGGCTACTCTTGAGACTTCGCGTTTGCCTGTGAAGGGTAGTGGTGGTTTAATCTCGGCTGTGGCCGAGACATCTCGGCCGTGGCCTGTCTGGGGTGTGGCCGAGACATCTCGGCCGTGGCCCAACCATGGGGCTGTTTTTTTTTTTTCTTCTTTTCCTGCCGCGGCGCGGCGCGGTACGGCGCACGACCTCAAAAAAAAAAAAGAAAAAAAGAAAAAAAAAAAAGAAAAAAAAGAAAAGAAAAAAAAAGAAAAAAAAAGAAAAAAAAAGAAAAAGAAAAGAAAAGAAAAGAAAAGAAAGAAAGAAATGGCCATGTGCCTGACTCAGGCTCAGCCTGACTGAACTGCTAGAAAAAGCCAGCCCGGGTTTCAACTGCAATTGAAATTCGGGCCCTGACTAAACTGCTAAAACGCAGTTTCAAATGCAATTACAAACTGTAACCCTGACTGCGCCGTAGTTTTCTCTTATTATTTTTTTTCCGTTTGATTTTCTCGTGTGGCGACAAGTTTGTTTTGCTGCACGGCTGGGGCCATGTACTGGTGGTTTGAAGCACCAGTACACCACACATCGGCCCCCGTGTGTCAGCATGAAAGCTGCATCACTTTGGAGGCCGCCGATCCTTTTTTTCAGCGGTGCCCCACGCCGCGCGGCCCCTCTGAGTTCTGGTTGTAGTGAGGAAAACTTTCTGCAAGGCTGAGGCCGTGTACTTGCGGTTTAAACTTATGAATGGACACTATGGTATGGCTCTACGAGGGCCTTCCAAGGTCTCCGCTATTTGATCTTCATGGACTCTCACATCATCCATGGCCATCCGAGACGGCCCGGAGTGGTGATGACCACCGTACCCATCACGGGAGCTATCACGGCGGTTGTCCACACCTCCGACGACTCCAACCGTCACCGGCAGACTTGGTCCAAGCGGGGTACCGGAGCGCCGGTGGAAGCGTGCCGGTCAGCCTCTGTCCCCATCCGTTGCTGCCAACTGATCCCATCACACAGTATTTTATCGCCTGATTTTTTCCTCGTTCTTTTTTTCCCTGTGTCTTCTCCTCATTTGGGGTCAGCTGTATTCTTCTTTTTTTTTTTTTTTTTTTACAAGAAAAGACTGCTCATTTTGAATCATAAATGAGGAGGATGGGAATCCTCCGTAAACGACCCGGAAGAGAAAATTGCTGGGACCATTACCCAGTGTCGGTGTAGGCATTGGGATAAGCGCAAAGACAGAAATGGCCAACATCAGGCCGCTGTCCTGGTAGATACCCGAGCTGTATTCGCTATGCTAATTTTCTTCTCTCATTTTTTCTTTTCACCTCACAATTTCAGACTGTTCTGCCAAAGATGTTCTGCGTAATTCAATGAAAACAGAGAGAGAGAGAGAGAGAGAGAGAGAGAGAGAGAGAGAGAGAGAGAGAGAGAGAGAGAGAGAGAGAGAGAGAACAATGTGCATTGTACACCTAGTGGTTCTTTGTTTTTTTCTGGTACGGACAGTGAGGGTTGAACTCACGATCTTCAGCTTGTGAAGAAGCATGTTTTTTTTTTTTTTTTTTTTTTCTTTTTTTTCTTTTCTTATGGTTACTCTGACAGCCTCTCTCTGTCTGGCTCCGCTGTACGAACCTGTTTCTTTCTTATTGTTGTTGAAAGTGCAAGGAAAGTGAGTGAGAGGGCGAAATGACAGAAATCCAAATTGCATTATCACATTGAAAGCCAGATAGTCGAATGCTGTCCAGATACAGAAACCACCAATTGGATTGGAAATGAGAGCGAAATGCTGACGTCAGCAGAGTGTGCTGAAATCAGCTGCATGCAAACACACAAGCACGCTGCATAGTGGAGCAACACGCTGCATATTTGTAACTCGAAATCACACGACTCTTTGAAAAATGAGGAAGAAGCACACCAACAGTACAGATCACCATAGCTGTGGCTATGGTGTTCGAACCTCCGCCCGCTAGGTGGACGGTGGTAAGTCTGGCTTCCCTCTACCGGTTTCAGCTGGAGCCAGATTCCAGTCTCGTCAGGAGGGTAAATGACTCCGAGGTGACGAGTGGTAACCACGTAGCGAAGGGTGGGACCCCACTGGACGACGCCAAGCCTTTAGCTAAGGGTGGGACCCCACTGGACGACGCCCCCAAGCCTTTGGAAGACATTTTTTGGGACTCCACTGCTGGCGGCAGACAAACATTTTTGTTTCTGACTCAACCGGTTTTTGATTGAATAACTATAAAAAGATAGGATAAACTGTCGTGTTTCTATCAGAAGAAAAATCAAAGTTAACAACAAAAAGCTAGTAAACATCAGAAAGATGGGTATCAGCATAGAAAGATGTATTGATGTACCAAATTGGCTAACTCTGCCTACCTCTCCGCTTTTTCAGCACACCAACCAACCCCCGTGCCTCCTTTCCGCACGGGACGATGGGTTAATCTAGAGAGTGTGCACCCTCTAGATTTACCCATCATTCCGTGCGGAAAGGAGGCATGGGGATTGGTTGGAGTACTGAAAAGCCAGAGACAAACTTAGGCAAAGTTCCCCGAAAAGGCAAGTCTTCCTGATGGGGTAACAGGAACCTCGGGAAGTCCTGCAAATTGCTGTGGCGGTGGAGTCCCATTTCACTTCCCCATTACTGTTGGCTACAGTTTTTTGGGCCGGCAGATGTTTTGCTGGCGCCAAGCACCGCCAAGCAGTGGGGTCCCTTCCTAATAAATACTAAAACCTTTCATCCGCCCGTTGTAACTTCTACTTGGTAACACCCATCCTTTTTTTTTTTTTTTTTTTTTTTTTTGGGACAATGCTTCAATCTCTTCGTGGGGAGCCGCACATGCTGGGAACCGGGCCCAGCGTCCCATTAGCAACATTTGGAGAACAAACACGGAAAAAACTCGAGATAAAAAAAAGAAGAAAAAAAAAAAGGATCATGATCTAGCTTTCCCGGGGCGCCTGGCCGGGCGCCCCGGGCGCCATGCCCGGGGGGGTACCACGCCCGGGGTACCCCGGGCATGCAAAAAATGACCTTTTTTTTTTTTTTTTTTTTTTTTTTGGGTTACGGTGCCGTTCTGCGCATTCCGAGTACTCCATATACCCGGCTTCGTATCTAATTTCTATTGATGTGGATTTCTGTGTGTTTCGGGGCCAGCGTTGGAGAGAGGAGGGTGTGGGGAGGGGGTGCAGGAGCGGGGTGGATCATGGGTTGTCCGTTTTGCAGGACCGGGGATCTAGTAGTTGCTGTGTCCCGCGTTCAAGTAGGTAACTGCTGCTGGTAGCATGCAGCAGCTGTTGAAAGACAGCCTGACACAGCTTCTGCATTTCCCGTGGAGTCCCAAAAGTAAAGCAGGTTGTAGCACTCACAAGCAGCAAACAAAAGTCCCCGGATTTCCAAACGCTGTCTCAAAGTAATGTCTCATATCGAGTCCGCTGCTGGAGACTGGCGGGGCAGAGTTGCTCAAAGTTTGCTGCTTGAAGTCACGGGGAGCAGCAGACTGAGTCTGAGTGTGGACTCGAACTTGAGTTTCAGTCCACACTCTGACTCAGAATGAGTCCGAGTGTGGACTCAAACTTGAGTTCGAGACCACATTCAGACTCAGTCTCCTGTTCCCCGTGATCTCAAGCAGCAAACTCTGAGCAACTCTGTCCCGCCAGTCTCCAGCAGCGAACTCAGTAAGAGTGTGGACTCAAAACACTCCGACCCGGTTCCAGTCCACACTTGAGACTCAGTCCGCTGCTGGAGACCAGCGGGACGGAGTTGCTCAAATTTTGCTGCTTGAGATCACGAGGAGCAGCAGACTGTGGACTCAAACTTGAGTTTCAGTCCACACTCAGACTCGGACCGAGTCTGACTGTGGACTCAAACTTAAGTTTGAGTCGACATTCAGACTCGGTCTGCTGTTCCCCATGATCTCAAGCAAACTCTGAGCGTTATGCGGCCCCCTCAACTTAAGATGCTGTATCCACAGAATCTCAAGATGCTGTGTGGGGACTCAAACTTAAGTTTCAGTCTGAGTGTGGACCGAAATCCAGCCATGTGAGCAAACTCAAAGCAACTCACCCAACCCCCCCCCCCCCCCCCCCCCCCCCTTCCAGCCCCCGTGATTTCAAGCAGCAACGCGAGCAAACTTGAAAGCATGTTTTGAAGAATCAGAAGTTGAAAACAACATAAGTACAGCCCTGAGCTGCACAAATTCACAGAAAGTGTTCCAAGGACTTCTAATTCTGATGAATTCTGATCAACCGTGAGCCACCATTGACATAACATGGTAACAGTCATGACACACGAAGAAGAAGAAGAAGAAGAAGAAGAAGAGGCACAACATTGATTGCCTCGGAAAACCCAAGGGATTAACTGTGCGAAACAACCACCACTCAGACCGCAAAGCACCGGAAGTGTAGGCCCCCTTGCACCTTCCTCCCCCGCTGAGCCCTGTCTATAAAACCCCACACATACATTAGGGACACACTGTGCCACTAACGTATGTGGCTATTCCCAGTCGCTCTCCCGACCCTCTTCATCTCTATCACTGGAGTCACTGCTGCTTTCGTCCGTATCCGAGTCGGTTGGATCGTCTTCCACGACCCTCGCCTTTTTCGCCGCCTTCCTCTTCGGCCGCTTTGGCAGGCCTGTCTCCACACCGTCCACTGCGAGTGTAGGGCCCCTTTGCTTCTTCCTCCCTGCAGTGACATGCTCTTGCACCTCACCCCCTTCAGCACCATCAACACCGGCAGCAGCAGCTGCTGACACTGTCAGTGGATACTTCCTCGGGCGGCCCCTTTTCCGAACCAGTTTGGCTGCACCTTTCGCTTCCTTCCTGCCAAGCTGACGTCCAAGTTATCGCGCTGCATGTCCTCGATCTCTAATGGGAGAGGAAGGGTTTGAACCGCATCTTGGATGGCTGCTGCGCTGGACCCTTGTGATCGCCTGGAGTAAACTCGAGTGATTCGTTGCGCAGTCTCCTTTTCTTGCTGCTGCAGCTGCAGACCATCGTGTTGTTGCTGCTGATGCTGCTGCAGTCCATCCTCATCAGGTTGCTGCTGCTGCAGTCCTCGGTGGTGTTTCTGTTGCAGCTGCTGTTGCCCAGTCTCTTGCTGCTGCAGCAACCCGTCTTGCGCTGGCTCTTGGTGCTGCTGCAACCCATCCTCTTGCTGCTGCTGGACCTGCTGGTGCTGTACCCCATCTTCTCGCTCTTGCATCTGCTGTTGCAGCCCTTCTGCTTGCTGCTGCAGTCCATCCTCTCGTTGGTGATGCACTTCTTCCTCTTCTTGCTGCTGCTGCACGCCTTCCTTGTGCTGCTGTTGCTGAACATCGTCAGCTGCCAGGCAACTGCCCCTTCCCACCGGTGTCATGTCCTTCCTCCCCGAAGGGGGGACGGCAGTCCGTTTTGCTGTTTCCTCTCGCATTCGCTGCTCCACGAGTGCACGATCTCGTTGCGCAAGGGATTGTGCCCTCGCCCTGTCAGCGTCATCATCGAGGTCTGTGTCCGCTCCGATGCGTGCGTTAAAGTCCATCCCCCTGGGCCCAAAGTCACTATCTAGGTGACCCCGCTCGACGTTGCGCGTGAGGGCCTCGTCCAGTTCATCGTCGTCACTGGACATGTCGCTTGCTCGTGGCGACCGCAACGTAAAGTTCTCGTCATCTTCCTCGCTCTCCTCGACGTTCTCTTCCTCGACATTCCCACCCATCTGCGCCTTTCCTTTGCCATCGTCAAGAACTTCAACAAGCTTTTTCTTCTTCCCTTTGCCTCTCCAAATAAGGTCCTCCCCATCGTCACTACTGTCCGACGAGCTTGATTCATCAACGGCCCGATGCTTGAGGACCCTAGCCCGAGGAGTTTTCGTGAGATTTGCCTGGTGGACAAGTTCATCGCCAGTCAAATCCGCTACAGTTGCAGCCTTCGGCAATGCAGCAGGATCATTCGGTGGTGGCGCCTCCACGTCGTCAAAGAATGCAGCCCACATGTCCAAGTACCCCGCCAGACTTCCCTTGCTCTTGTTCTTGATGTCCAACAGTTGAAGATTCAAATGGACGTAGACTAATTTCGCGAGACTGTCAGGGGACAGCGGGCCCCTCCTCTTGTCGTGGACAAGATCGAGAGATGACCAGTTCCTCTCACAAGGGGTTGCGGTGCTCCACATCGTTGTGACCCTCATTGCAATGTCCCGCAACTTCTTGTGAGAGGCCCCGTGTGCGTTCCACCATTCTGAGGCCGTCATTTGGGTAAGCGAGCTGTCAAACTTTGCAAAGTCGGTCCACAAGCTCTCCTCCACCACTTTCCCTGTCACTGGATCCTTCACCACTTCTCCAGTTGGCTCCCTGTGGAATGCTTGCAAATCTGCCCACAGATCGAGCTGCTCCCTGCACCCCCAAGTGGCCTCCTCTTTGCACTGTGACAAGAAGAACTTGAGGGTGTTTTGGACCACCGGGGATTGCATGTCCATCAACCACTTCATGTCTCTCCTCCTTGGGTCGAGGAGAAAGTTTGCCGCATGAACAGGCTGCCTCATCAGCTTCGTGCGCTTGCTGACTGCCTTCATGATCTCCCGCCGCTGAACATCAGTCAACCGCGTGAGTGTATTGAGACCCCTCCCCAACCCCTCGTTGAAATGCCAAAGGTTTGGGGGGGCTGTGCCATTGCGGTCCATCTTCCTCAACAACTCGTATATCGGCTCCAACACATCCAAAACCGTGCGCAGCTTCTCCCACCACTCGGGCTCAGTGACAGTCATGTACGTGGTGTCGGACTTGTCCCTATCCTTCCTGGCACTCCATCTCAACAGCCTCCACCCCTCCTCCATCATATCCTCTAGCACATGCCGCCTGCCCCAAAACCGGTTCATCATCATGTATGACGAAGCGAAGCGAACCTCCGTGGGCAAAATCAAGGTCAACTCCCTGGACAGCTCTGAGCACTTCGTGTAAAGGGCGGTTGTGTGATGGTGTCTACTTATGAACTTCACCATCATCTTTGTACGCTGCACCACTTCCTTCACCCACTCCAGCTCGCAGATGTCCTTCATTAACAAGCTCAAGCAATGCGCTGCACACGGGACCCATGGAATGCTGGATATGTCGCAATCTGTGCGCCTTCAGAGGATCCGTGCAGCTTGCTTGTTGACTTCTGCATTGTCTGTGCAGATTGCATTCACCCGCTGCACCCCGATTTCCTTGATGACTTGCTCCTACATCATCGCCAAAGCAACTGCAGTCATCTTCTTCTTCGACACATCCACGACCTTCAGGAGGATTGCACCGCTCTCGCTGGCCCCGATGAAGTTCATCACAGGCCTGTACCTTCGATCTGTGCACCCGTCAGTGATGAGGGTGCAACCTGTGTGGTCCCACTTTGCAGTCAGCGGGCGCATGTCTTCCTGAACTTTGTCATAGATGATGTCCAACACTACAGTCCGGACGACCTCCAACGAAGGCATCTTCACCCGCTGTTTTTTCTCCCCCAACTCAAGGTACAAATCGTGCAGCTCCTGTGTCTGCGTTGTCCTGACGTAGTTAAACGGGGCACCGTGTCGACAAAGGTGCATCCCCCATGCGATATCCAATCGCCTCTGAGAATCATTCGTTGTCCACCTTTTGATTGACACTTGTGTCAACTTCCCCGACTTCTGGCCTGCAGCAGATCCTTGTGCAGCTTTCCCTGCCACTCCACCGCCTTCCTCTTCAATCCCCCGTGGCCCTTCTTCATCAACCGTTGATAATGGCACCGTTCTGCTCCGCCGCCCTGCTGGTGGCACTATGAACTTATCTAGTGTATCCCCTTGAGCCTCCTCCGGAATTGCGGGAGCCAAACCGTCTAAGGGGATGTTGTGCTCCATTTGGTATAGTTGAATGCGCCGCAGTGTCTTCTTGCAGTCAATGTTGTGCCCCGTAGCAGCAAGGATGTGAAGCATCTCCGGAAAACGACCCGGGCAAGGATTCGTTTTCTGTGCGAAGTGTGGCCACACACGAGTGTACGATGCAACCCAATCTGCGCCGCATAAAGTACACTTCACCCTGTACTGCCCCTTGGACAATGGTGGGACCATCTGCCCCTGTGTTACCCACTTGAACGCCACCTTCGTCGCCTGCAGCTGCAGTTGCCTTGCCTCAGGCTGTGGCACAAATGCTTCCTTCACGCGGGTGGCTGTGGAGTCCGAACCCGCCACCTCCTTCCCCCTCGAAGTGCCTGCCGCGCTTGAAGATGCCATCTTGGACAAGGCCGTGAAGGACGAGGGGAAGGAGGAGGAGGAGGAGGAGGAGAAGAAGAGGAGAAGAAGAGGAGAAGAAGAAGAAGAAGAAGAAGAAGAAGAAGAAGAACTTGATGTGAAAAAATAAAATCCAAAGGAGGGAGACTATGGTGGCGATGGAGGGAGTCTATGGAGAGTGTGAGGTATAATGAAGAAGAACAAGGAGGAGGAGAAGAAGAAGAAGAACTTGATGTGAAAAAAAAAAAATTTTGCAAAGTCAGGCTGACAGCCTGACACAGTGCCACGTCAAGGGAGGGACGCTATGGTGGCAAAGGAGGGAGTCTATGGAGACTGGGAGGTGGGAGGAAGAACAACAAGGAGGAGGAGGAGGAGGAGAAGAAGAAGAAGAAGAAGAAGAAGAAGAAGAAGAAGAACTGGATGTGAGAAAAAAATCCAAAGGAGGGAGACTATGCTGGCGATAGAGGGGGTCTATGGAGAGTGTGAGGTATAATGAAGAAGAACAAGGAGGAGGAGAAGAATAAAGAACTTGATGTGAATTTTTTTTTTTGCGAAGTCATGCTGACAGCCTGGCACAGTGCCTCGTCAAGGGAGGGAGGCTATGGTGGCGAAGGAGGGAGTCTATGGAGACTGGGAGATGGGAGGAAAAAGAAGAAGAAGAAGAAGAAGAAGAAGAACTTGACGGGATGGAGGATGGAGAAGTATGGCGGGAGGGAGAAAGGAGGACTATGGCGGGAGGGAGAAGGGAGGAGTATGGCGGGAGG